CTCTCTCTCCTGCAGGGCCAGCAGGGGGCGGCAGAGCGGCTCCTGGCCCTGCAGGACGCTTTCCAGACCAGAGAGCAGGCGAGTGTGCGCTTCCTCCCTCCCCAGGCTTCCCAGGGACAGCAGGGGTGCCCGGATTCCAAGTCCCCAGCCAGCGCTGGCTGCTGGGTCCCTGCTCCCCCACTTCCTGGCAGTGTGACTGGGACAAGTCACTGACTGTCTCTGAGCCTCAGTTTCCCTATCTGCAATGTGGGAAAGACACGAGGCCCAGCTTCACGGGGAGTGGGGAGGATTAATGCACTAACACACAAAGGACCTCAGCATTGAGCAGGGAACATGTACAGCCATCCCTGTGGGTCACCTCCATCATCAGTCGTCATGGCTACCACATCCCCATTGCTTCTGGCTACAGATACCATATTAATATAACCCCCACAACTAGTGCAGTGTGAGTGAGTACCATGAGTCCCATTCTACAGATGAGGAAACTAAGGCTCAGAGACATTCCAGAACTTTCCCGAGGTCACATGGCTGAGTTTCAAACTCAGGCTGTCTGGCTCAAGTCCACTCTGCTGCCCAGCCCAGTGAGGCCTGTCGTGGCCACATCTGAATCAGCTCGGCTGTCGGTCATGGGCCCCAGGCCCCGCTGCAGGCCACTAATTCTGGACAGGCCAGGAAGCTTGCATTGTGACACTTCCCTAGTTGCTCCCGGGATTCACCTGCCTCTTCCTTGTCCTCTCTGTCCCTACAGAGGTGGCCATGGGTGGCCCTGGCTATCTGGGGCCCACCACCCCACTGCGGGAGGAGAGGACAGGGGGAGCCAGGGAGGAGCAAGCGGCCCCACCGCTGGGGCCCTATTCCCAAGCATCCGCTGCCGCCGCCCCCCAGCCGGCCACCTCTGCCCGCCCGCTGCCCCCAGAGGAGGAGGAGGAGGCCAACAGCTATGATTCTGACGAAGCAAGTAGGTGCAGGACACCCTAGCCCTCGTGTGCCAAGACTGGTTGGCATACTAAAGCCGTGAATGAAAACTCGGGTTCACAAAGCAGTATGGGCCTTGTACAGGATGGGTACTAGACAGTATATTTTTTATTGTAGTGAAATACACTTAACATCAAAGCTAGCATTTTAATTATTTTTGTTTGCATTGCTGCAGTACTGGGGATTGAACCCAGGGCCTTTGCACCAAGTTCCATCCTGGGCCCTTTATAATTTTGAGGCAGGGTCTCACTAAATTGGTAACTTGCTCGACTTACCTGGGCTCAAATTTGTGATCCTCCTGCCTCAGCCTCCCAGAGCGCTGGGATAACAGATGTGCACCACCACCACACCTGGCTCATTTTAATCATCTTAAAGATTTCAGTGAGGTGGCACTGACGACATCCCCCACTGCAGCTCCTGGTTAAACAACCCTTGTGGGCCCCGGCGACCACACTCCCAGGCAGGTCTGTCTACAGATGAACACTGCCCAAGGGTTTTAGCTGGTGTCCTCTAAGAGTGATGCTTAACCAGGATTTTAAGTCGCTCTTGTCTGCCTCTTCAGTGATTTATTAAGCATCTACTGTGCATCTCTGGGAGACCGGCAGGGAGTCGGGGTTTGCAAGCATGGGATGCAGCATGTGGTCCAGGGTCCATCTCAGGCGGGGACACTGGAGCCACACGGAAGTGGGGCGAAGGCTAGCACAGTGGCCCAGCCTTGGCTCATTGCACACTGGGAAGTAGATGCTGGCTGGGGGGAAGGTGAACTGAGGCACCTTCTGGAAGGTGCTTCATGGACTGCACACCATCACCCTTTTTTTATTTTGCCCTACTGGGCGTGGAACCCAAGGCCTTTGCACAGAGCTACATCCCTAGTCCTTTCTTAAAATACATTTTTAAATTTTGAGCCAGGAGTGGTGGCACACCCCTGTAATCCTAACACTCAGGAGGCTGAGGCAGGAGGACTGCTGTGAGTTCAAGGCCAGCCTGGACTATACAGTGAGACCCTGTCTCAAAAAAATATTGAGATGAGGTTTCACTAAAGCCATTGTTTTCACACGGTTCTCCAGGCCCAGGATGAATCGCTGTTCCGTGATTCCAATACCTGGGGTTCTAGTGGTGACACAGGTGGGACCCACACCCTGTCCCAGGGTCTCTCCTGAGCTGCTGTGCGTGTCTGCTCACTGAACTCCCCTGCAAGGCCAGGACAGCCGCTTGTCCCCCTCCCTCGTGACAAATGGGGAGGCTCCAGGAAGCTGGGGACTGGAGGGAGGGGCCGACGGCCAGGCCTGGGGAGGTGTCAGCTGTCCCCTGCATTCCCTGTGCTGTCTCGAGACTGCCCCGCCTCTGCAGCCAGGGCTGTCTCTGCTCCAGAAATGCACTGGGCCGGTCCTTAACCTATGCCCATGACTTCTGAAATGCCTGTCTCATGCATATTAATACACCTGTTTCCAACCCCGTCCTCCTCCTCCTCACATATCTCTGCAGCAGACAGGACTTACTGAGCACGTACTGAGCACCTCCAGCTGTCCCAGACATTCAGATACCACGGCAAAAGGTGCCAGGCAAGCTGGCTGATCTACTGGAGCTGGCATTCTAGTGCAGAGAGACGATTAACGTGGAGTCCATTTCACATCAAGACAAGAGCCCCTGAAAGGAGATAAAATATGTTGAGTGACCCTGAGGGCAGCTGCGTTAGATGCAGTGATGGGGAGCCCCCCTGAGCAGGTGACATTTAGGCAGAGAAGTGGATAATGAGAAGCTGTTAGCCATGTGAGGATGTAGAGGGAGAGCATTCCGGGCAAGGGGAACAGCAAACGCTAAGTCTCGTTTGTTCCCTTGGTGAATGAGGAAGCATCTACTGTGTGCCCTGAATGGTGCACAGTGGGGACAGAGTCGGCAAGATGGGCCCACCCTTGCCCTCATGGGGCTTAAGGAAGTCACCCTCTCAGCAAGTGCAAAGATAATCCACTGATCATACAAGCACAGAGGTACTAAGGAGGAAGGTGTGCCAGGATGGGCTGTCCAGAGCAGGGACAGAGTCTTCCTGTCTTCTCTAGTCTCCGTGCCTAGCCTGGACAGGGTACATCATAAATGTTTGTTGAATGACTAAACAAATGTCCTCTTGGTTCCCGTCTTACCCCTGCAGCCACCCTGGGTGCCCTGGAATTCAGCCTTCTCTACAACCAGGACAACAGCTCCCTGCAGTGCACCATCATAAAGGCCAAGGTGGGTGAGGACACTCGGGTGGGGACAGACCCAGGGCTGCCTCCTGCTGCTGCCTATCTGTGACAGCAATGGTGGCCCAGCGGGTGACAAGGCTGAGCACTCCAGTTCCACTCTGCTCCATAAAGCAGTGTGAGGCGCTCGTGTCTTCCCTCTCATGCCACTTCCTTCATGGGCCCTGATTGGGCCCTGCTGAGTACCAGGCCCCGCGCTGCGCACAGTTCAGTGTACTCAGCACCCGACCCGCACATGACAAGGTGAGTCAGTGCCCACAGAATCCCGAGTCCTCATCACGGAAACCCGTGAGGCCCGGGTTTGTATGGACCCCTTCGTACGGCTGGGGAAACTGAGGTCTCAGGAGTGAGTGTGAGGTAAGGGCCAGAACTCAGGACTCTCCTCCTCCTCCAGTGCCTCCTTCTCTCCACCCTTTCTATTCTATTCCCACCCTAGAAAAATAATCCGGCCTCCATGAGGTGCTTACTGTGTGCCTGGCAGGATTACATTTAAGCTCACCATTCCATGAGGAAAGTACCATTCTCATGCCCATTTCATAGGTGAAGAAACTGAGGCTCAGAGAGGTTAAGAAACTTTCCTGAGGTCACACAGCTCTCTTTGAGAAGCAACACATCTTTAGGTCCTGACTGCCTGAATCTAGCACTCTCCCCAGTACTGCATCTCTCTTCTCTCTCTTTGGAAGAGGAAGCACACAGGGGAGACTGCCAGGTGGGACAGACACAGGGGCTGTGCCCCAGCCTACGACAGCAGAGGCTGGAGGCCTTCATGCCCTGGCTGGCTTTTCTTGCAGGGACTGAAGCCCATGGACTCCAACGGTTTGGCCGATCCCTATGTCAAGTTGCACCTCCTGCCAGGAGCCAGCAAGGTACCATATGGCCTGCAGCTCTGCGAGCTGGCCAGCACCTGGGTTCTCAGCCCAGAGCCTGGACAGCCCATCTGCCCCATGCCCACACCCCATCCTGGGGCAAAGCCCTCATGTGGCTGAGGGTGGTCAGGGGCTCTGCTCCTTCTCCAGCTCTGAAACTCGGGTCCAGGGACTCCCAAGGGCCAGAAAGGAGATGCCCTTCAGCTGCCCCCACACCTCCAGGGGCTCCCCCAGCCATCTGACCCACCAGACCCCTTCAACTCTCCGCAGAAATGAACCCCTGCAGAGCCCAGAGTTTCAGCTCATCTTGAGCCCTGGGGTTACGTCCATTCTTCCTGTGGCCCCCATGGTCCTGGTTGGACCCAGAAGTATGGCTTCCTGGGCGTATCTATTGCCTTGTCATGTTAGCTTAACAAAGTGACAGTGCACTTGCTGACATGCTCTCATAAAATGCCCGTTAAATACCTCTGCAGGTGTCAAATGCCCCATGAAACCAAAGACACATGTGTGTGCACACACACACGCAAGCACACACACTTTCTCTCATTCTTACTTTATTTGGATCAAAGATAGTCTCTTACCTGCTAGGGCCAGCGTGTGTATGGTCCCTCCACCCACGCCTTCCCATCAAGACCCTCTCTTTGCCAGGTGTGGTACTGAATGCCAGTTATGTACTGTTAAATCCAAACCTGTTTGGCCAAAGACTCCAACATGAGTCATTTACAGGTTGTATGAATTAGATTTTTCATCAGGCCTCCTGTTCTGGATGCAGTTGCATTTCTAGCCTTTCCTTTCAGAGTAATATGAAAAACTTTGTCCTTGCTAAGGTATTTCAGGCAGGAAGGTCAGTATTTGGGGGAACAGACGGAACCACCCCAAGATCTCCTGCCTAGGAACTGGAGACTCTCATTTCTACCTCCCTGGCCTATAGATGGCGCTTCTCTCTCTCAAATGACAAAGCCTGGGACTGGAGGGAAGGCGTCGTTGCTTCTTTATCTTAACGTAGAGTTCCGGCAGGGGGCAGTGTAGGGCACTGATCCGTTTGCCTATGGCCATTGTCCTAGAGGCCCCACCCCCTAGAACGTGTATTGGGGCCACTCGGGCCCTGGACACTCCTTGGGGGAAAGCCACTGCCCACCGAGAAGGGCTCAAGTACCAGGCTGCGGGCAGCTCTTGGGGAGGCGAGTCTCTCTGACCCTCTCTCGGGGCTCTAGTCCAACAAGCTCCGGACGAAGACTCTGCGGAACACCCGGAACCCCATCTGGAACGAGACCCTGGTGTACCATGGCATCACGGACGAGGACATGCAGAGGAAGACCCTCAGGTGCCCACAGCAGGGAGAGGGAGGCAAGAGGAGGCCCACTCCTTTTCAAACATCTTCGTAAAAAACAGGCATGGTGGCACACACCAGTAGTCCCAGCACTCTGGGAGACTGAGGTAGGAGGGTCACAAGTTCGAGCCTGGGCAGCTTAGCAAGACTGTGTCTCAGTCAACCAATCAGGGCTGAGGATGTAGCTGGTGCAAAAGCCCTGGGCTCAATCTCCAATAGAAGAAAAAGGAGGCGGAGGGGGCAAACGTAGGTGAAGGTGAAGGTCAGACAGGACAAATGCCACCGTGCAACCAGAGGTCAGGACAGGGGTTGCCTGGGGGCAGGTTGTGAGTGGGGAGGATCCTGAGCATCCCCCGGTACAAGAACGCCCTCAGCTGGACTTGAGCAGGGCGCAGACCTGTGTGTGCGCCTGCGCAGTGTGTACTGGTGTGCACACATGCGCGGACTCGCTGGTCTGCGCCCCAGATCTGTGCCCCGCGTCTGCGCCCCTTGCGGCAGGTGGGTTACACTGCAGCCAAGCAGAAGTGTGAGCCCCGGCCAGGCCCAGGATCCCTAACTTGGCCCGTGTCATCCTCAGACCCGGTCCTCGGTCCTCACCAGAGCCAGCCGTGGCTCCTGGCACGTAGTAGGAGCTCAATATTTGTTGCTCTTTCTCTCCCCGCCCTTACGTCCCCGGCAGGATCTCTGTTTGTGACGAGGACAAATTTGGCCATAACGAGTTCATTGGTGAAACGAGATTCTCGCTCAAGAAACTGAAACCGAACCAGAGGAAGAACTTCAACATCTGTCTGGAGCGGGTGATCCCGGTGAGCAGCTCAACCCTCGGGATTGCAGGGTCTGCGGGCCTGGGTGCACGGGCACCAAAGCAGAGGGCTGTGGCAGCTGGCAAGGAGAGTGAAGATTCCCGCTCAGGAGGTCAGGGCTGCATCTTCCATCTGCCTTCGACCTTCTGGGGTCAGCATCACTCCTTCCAGCGTCAGCTGGGGTCAGAGCCCAGCCCTGCCACTCCCTGCTCTTGTCTGCAAAATGGGTACTGTGACTGTGCCTACTGGTGGGATGATTGTGTTTTTAAAACATCAGAACAGAATCTACTGTGTGATAAATAAGCATTCATGAAGGCACGGTGATTATTATAGGAAATAACACTGCCTTGTCCATCTGTCAGTCATGACCTCCTAAGTGTCCCACAGATAGAGAGGAGGAAGCGTGGCTTGGTGGCCAAGAATGTGGCCCGTGCAGCCAGGGCCTGGGTTTGAATCCTGACTCTGCAGATTGAATCCAGTCTCAGGCAAATCCCTTAAGCTCTCTGAGCCTCAGTTTTCTCCTCTGTAACCTGGGATAGTGTGGGACCCACCTGAAAGTCTTTTCATGGTTCCATGTGGTTGTGCTAATCAAGTATGAGAACTCAAGTCGCCGTCGGATGTGGCACCACGGAGTTTACCAGGGGATTTGACCACCGGAGATGTACAAAGACTTGTGCAGGTGCCCCCTGGAGATTCCCACTAAGCGGGGGATGCGCAGTGGTGTCTAACCCAGCCTGCGCTTGTCGGATGTGTGGCTGGCCCGAGAGTGGACTGGCTGGTCGCCAGGCCCTGTTCTCACAGCTCATGAGAAGGAAGCGGACACCACGAGAGAAACTGCAGGGAAGGCTGGCGCTGCCTGCCGGGCTCCTCCTCAATCCTGTGCTGCCCTAGGAGTACAGCTGACTGTCTGGCTCCCTCTTCCTCCCCTGCTGCATGAGCCCAGTTGGTCAGGACAGTGGACAGGCCCCTGGCTGGGCCATCAGCTCCCGGCTCTGCCCATCTTGCCGATGGACACATGACCTGGGACACAGAGACAGCGGGACAGGTGTGCTGCTGTGGCCCCAGTACACTGCTAATCATCTTCAGCTCTTTGCCTTTTATTCCTTTCACTATCAAGGACCTGCTGTGGCCTAAAAAATGCTGTCCCCTCCCTGCGGACCCCAGATGATTTAACCAGTGGTTTGCAAACTTCCTCAGAGCCTTGGGGCACAGGCTGTGCGAGGGGCACCTGGTGGACCTAACCCCAAGTCCCTGAGCCCTCAGCCCGAGCAGACGAAACCTATCTGATTTCCGGGCGGGGTGCTCTGGTGTGGGGTAGTGGCTTTCCCGCTCTGCCTCAGCATCTTCATCAGTAAACTGGGCACGGGAAGAGAGCCTGTGTCCTGGCGGCGGTGCATTCACCTGCCCTGCTACAGGTCAGCGTCAGATAAATTGCAGCTGGGAGGAAGAGCATGGGAGGCGCAGGGCTCTGAGACCCCACCTTGTGCTGATGGAAGGGAGGGGTTCTGAGCTTCCTGTGAAGTGAGGAGCCCTGCAGACAATGTCCTCTTCATTCTGTTTCCTCCCATCAAGATGAAGCGCGCAGGGACCACCGGCTCGGCCCGAGGCATGGCCCTTTACGAGGAGGAGGTGAGCTGGGGTGGGAGTGGAGCCATGTCAGGTCTCTCTGCCCTGCCTGCCTGGCCCTGTCATTGCTTCCTGGTGACTCCCGGCCTGTGGGGTCCCCAGAGTGGCCCTTCACCCCGGTGAGACCCAGGGTCCCCACACCCAAAGCCTCCGAGAAACCCAAGATACCTGGATACCCGAGGTCCTTGGCCTTGGGCACAAAGTTCTGCTGATGTCCATGCGAAAGGAGAGCGGTGACACTCTCCTCCCACCCTGGGGACATGGGCAGGCTCCTCAGGCTGTGTGCCTGGCAGGCAGAGGACCAAACCTCCGTGTCGCCTGCTGGGCTCTCACGGGACCCCAGGTTGCGTAACTCTGAGGACATTGCGTGGGTCCAGGAGTCTTTGATCAGAGTCCGAGGTGTGGCTGGAGATCCAGGCTCAGTACTGGGTCAGAATCAGGGTCACTCAGCGATAGAGATCTAGCGCCACATATGCTCGGGTCAGGACTCAGGCCCCGCGGGTCCCCTTAGCGCCTCTGGGAGGGCCGCTGTCCGTAGTGCTGACCCACTGAGCGGCCTGCCTGCCCACCACAGAGCGCAGCCCCTGCCCCCTAGCCCCCGTTCCTTTGCCCCAACGCAGCAGGTGGAGCGCATTGGTGACATAGAGGAGCGCGGCAAGATCCTGGTGTCCCTGATGTACAGCACTCAGCAAGGAGGCCTCATCGTGGGCATCATCCGCTGTGTGCACCTGGCCGCCATGGACGCCAATGGCTACTCAGACCCTTTCGTCAAGCTGTGAGTCGGGGCCTCGGGACCCTGAAGGGACCATGAGGGTCTCAGTCCTTGGAAAGGGAGAGCCAGAGGGCTTCCTCCAAGTCACAGCACCCGAAGACCCAGACAGGGGACGAGCCTGCCACGGTCTCAGTGACACAGGGATTGGAGTGGGAGGCTGGCGCCTCAGGTGCTGGGCCAGCGCGACACCTGCCACGGGTGAGGCTTTGTGATTCTGTCCCTCCTGGGGGCAGGAGGTGTGGTCACAGTAACCCCCTAGGACTCCCAGGAGTCGGCTGCATTCCCTGTGGCAGCTCAGAACCTCATAGCAAGGAAGTCATGTGGCTTCTCCCCGATTCATTCTGCAGATGCACCAAGGAAAGACCTGAGACCTGGGGGCTATTCCAGGACCCTCAGTCCTGGGGCGTAGATCCAAGCGCATGAATCAGCCTCTCAGCGTCCTCCCCTGAAGTGGAGATTGCAGTTCTGTTTCTGTCCAGGGGACACGGGGCTCAAATGAGACAGCATACCCAAAATGCTCAGGGCTAGAAGTGTCTCAGATTTTGCACTTTTTAAGATTTGGGAATATTTACATCTACATAGTGAAATATGTTGGGTAGTACCCAAGTCTAAGCACAAAATTCATTTAGGTTTCATATACCCTTTTACCAGAGCCCAAAGGTAAGTTTATAGTACGTTTAGTGCACCTGTGTTTTGACTGCTGCCATCACACGAGGTCAGGTGTGAAGGGTTCAGATTTCTAAAAGTTTCAGATTTTGGAGCATTTCTGATTTAGGGGTCAGAGATGCCCAACCTGTATAAAGCAGTTAGAACTGTGCCTGGTGCCAGAATGTTTTGCACCTGAGTAGAATTCTGCTTTGCTGTGTGGCAGCGAAGTGCATTTTGTGGACATGGTTAAGGACATGGGCTCTGGATCCAGACTGCTCTGTTAGGGTTCAGTATTCTCCAGCTGTGTGACATTGGGCTTGTGGCTTAACTTCTGGGCCTAGGAGTCCTCATCTGTAAAGTAGAGAGAGCAACACTGTGCAGTATTAGTCCTGGTGCTCCAAGAAGGAGACACCAGGAGTGCATGAGATACACAAGAGATTCATTGGGGAAAATGCCTGTGAAGGGAATCAGGAAGAGGAGGTCCCTAGAGACAGCAGAGTTTGTCCGCTTTATCAGAGATCTGATTTATCAAGGAAGGGAGAGGGAGGGAAGGAAGTCGAAGCAGGAAGACTTCCTGGCTGCAGTGCAGTTCCAAGATGTTTCAGCCGGGCCACTGTGAGGCCTTGAGCACAAAGCCACCCATCCAAGAAGCCCCAGTGGGCTGCCCCCCGCACCCATCCCTGCAGGCCTGTGATTGGCTGAGGGCAGCATGATGTCAGTTCACAGCCCTGTAGCTTTTCTGTTAATTTCAGCCCCTGCAGTTGGAGATCTGAGAAGTGCAGTTTCATGGGGTTTTGCACATAATAAGTGTTCAATAAACACCTGCTGTTGTGGTTATAAATAACTACCATGGCTTTGCTTACTCATGGCAGAGTGTCTATTAGTGTTCTCTCTGGGTGGAAGGCACCCCCACACACACACTACCCCATACCCAAAGCAAAACTTCCCTTAAGCCCAGGGCTAAAGAACAGGCCTGTGTGGATTTTCTGTGAGCAAAGATTTAGTTAAAACACATGCTCCAGGGATAAGTGTGATTTCTCAGAATAATTTGGTTTTGTTTCCTCGTGTGGTACCAGAGATGAGCCCAGCCCTGCACATCCTACATACCCCTGGCTTCCTGAAATAACCCTCCACATCTCCCCTCTCCCACCTGCCCAGTGCTACTGGAAGGGGGGCAGCTACCCTGGCGGCTGCAGTCCTGGTAAAGGCAACAGAAAACCCTCAGGCCATTTGTGACCAAATAAAGATTTTCTAATGTAGAAACTGATATCTTTCCATTCCTCTCCTCACTTGTGAGTCTTCCTAAAGCCATTCAGTGAATGAGAAAGAAATGTTTGTGCTCTTTACAGGAAGAAGTTTATGTTCATATTTAAAATTGTCCAAAGAGTCACACCCTGGGTCATAATCCAAAAGTCCCAACCCTGAGGAGGTTTTAGCCCATTTTGTTTACTCACCTAGGAAATACTTGTTCTGTCAGAAATGCTTTACAGGCAAAGGATAGTATTCAGACATTATGATAATTAGCCTTGTTCTTTTTTCAAACTCTGTCCCTGGCATATTTATTTTCACCCAGAAACTGATTGAGCACCTACTATGTGCCAGACATGGGGGAAGAGCTTTAGAGACAGAAGAAGTGGTGTGTGCAAAGGCCCTGGGGCAGAAAGAGGAGTAAGGAGTGGAGAGAACATGGCACAAGATTTGGCTGGGGTGGAGCAGGGACCCAACCACACAGGGCCAAAAGGCTAAATGAAGATTTTAAACCCTCTGCTGAGTTCTGCCACCAGCCATGGCTCTCTGTTTGGTACTTTGGGACACAGTGGTGGTTAAGAGCACAGACAGCAACACAGTAGGTAGGTGTCATCCCTGGCTGTGTGACCTGGGGCCACCTCTGGTCTCTTGGTTTCAGTGTATGCAGTGTCCTGCCCAAGGTGCTTAGCACTGGGCCTGGCACCATCCAGCCGAGCCCTGACGCACACTGGTCCTTGTCAGTGTTGCTCCACTGTCCAATTTGGTCCTTGCTGTCACTCTGAGGTTGAGAGTAGCCTTGGGGTTGTGGCAGGGCTGTCCTCATCCATTAAACTCTGTGCCTTATGGCCTCTCCTGTCTCCTTGCAGCTGGCTGAAACCGGACATGGGAAAGAAGGCCAAACACAAGACTCAAATTAAAAAGAAAACCTTGAATCCTGAATTTAATGAGGTAAGGCCTCCCCAGCCCTGGTCACGCTCTGTGATAATTCTTGTGAGTGAGAGAGGAGCAGATTCCTGCTAGAATCCTGTCGATCACATCAAAAAAGCTTTGGGGCATTGATCAGCTTGAATTAAGGAGAGGGGATGAGTTCCTTTTCACCAGACGTAATCAAGCCTCAGACAAAAGCATGCAGATTAGGAATTCACAGGGAGGAAACTATGCTTGGAGGGAGACTGAATCAAATCACCTTCAGTGCCTTTGCTCACACAAATGCTCTATAAAACTCAAAGGTGAGGAAGTAGGGTTGGTGCTTTTCTCTCCCTGTGTCCACCCAGGACATCAAGCGGCTGAAGCCACTGGGCACTGACGGTCAAGCCCTTTCGGACTCTCCTCCACCGGCCCTGTCTCACATGCTCTCAAGTCACACAAAACTCCGTGCAGGTCCCTCTGTCCCTGCTGCTCTCTTCTATCCTTTCCCTCCTTAACAAACTCCTAGTCATCCCTCAAAACATAGAGTGTTACCTCCTGCACGCATGCTTCCCCTGTGTTCCAGACCCTGTGCATCATCACTCCTGCCTTGGGCTGCACCTGGATCTCAGTTATCTGCCAGGCCTGTCAGACACTAGGGGTCCAGAACCATCTGGCAAATTAACAAAGGATGGGATGGACCAGAGGGTGGAAGAACAGATGAGCTCTAAGCAAACCTAAAACACAGGGAAGGAAGAAACCACAACAGGGTCATGGGAGACACAAGTTCAGAGCCTGAACCCAGCCCTTAGCCTGGCTTCATGCCCAGAGCAGGCGCGAGTCCAGGTTCCCAGCTCCGTGCCAGCCCAGCGCTGCCTGGCCCTGCGTTCTCCCTTCCTGGCCCCCTTCCTGAGATTCGTCTTGGGTCAGAGCCAGCTAATGTGGTTGTCATCACATGCTGCAGAGCGGGGAGGGAATCTACAATACAGGATTTTTGTTAGTGTTTTGTTTGTATGGAGAATAGCCATATGCACAGAGAGGGGGACTCTGCGGTAAACAGAGTCCAGGGTCACCCCTGACCTGCTGGCTCTGCCCTTCCACCAAGCACCTGAATTCCTCACAGAGACCCATGGATTTCCCAAGGTCCAGTCCTCTCCTGGAATCTGATCAAGTCACAAAAGAAGATATCCATTCAGCACTCTGGGAGGCTGAGGCAGGAGGATCTCAACAAGGGCTCGCTTCAGCAGCACACATAGTAAAATAGGAGGATCTCAGGTTCCAGCCTGAGCAATTTAATGAGACTCTGTCTCAAAATAAAAAAATAAATGAATAAAACGTGCTGAGGATGTAGCTCTGAAGGCCCTGGGTTCAGTCCCCAAAACCACACACACAAAAATAATCTGAAATCCAAGTCCTAAATATCAACACCAAACCCCATATCTTGTAACAAACTGGCCCTGAAATACTTTGAAATGTGGATACTCAGTGTTGGTGAGCACACAGAGAAATGCACACGCTCCTGGGTTGAAAACATACTGGCCCAGCCTCCGAAGGGAAGTGTGTTAGTCCTTCAAAAGCTGCAAAATCTTTGCAAGTCCACTTATTTGGGAAATGGGTAATATAGAAAAATATTCTAAAATTCGAAGTACAAACGAGTATTCAATCAAAATCTCCTTTTCCCCCAGCCTCTGGCACCTACTTCTTTTCTTCTGAAGCAAAAATATAATTCATTTCTGATATATATATATATATATATATATGTATATATATATGAGGTGTGATTGCATATATAGTGAATGTTTACATTTAAAATATTTATTATAATAAAATACACATTGCCATGAATCCCACCCACAGTACTCCCCCTTGCTTCAAACATACTTTCCTTCCTGCCACTTTCTGAAACAGTTCGGGGAGCCCATTTTTGTGAGTGTCTTTATGAGGTGGGATTAAAATGTGCTGACTACTGCTGCCAAGCGCCGTCTAACAGAGAGGCAGGCTCATGCAAACACAACATGGGTCTTCATCCCCGGATCTGGCAGGGTGCAACTCCTGGCTCCTCCCCAAATCAAAAGGCCCATGAAAGGTAAACTTTTTTAATCCATTCAGGACATCAAGGCAGCCACAACAGCGCAACGAAAGACCCTCATGAAAGAGGACACCAGAGCTGCGTATTCATGGCAACGTGTCTTTTACTGTGATGGTTTTTAAATTTAAACATTAATCATATTTTCTGATCAGACCTCTTATGTACAATGTAAATGTACGTGTGACCGGTTTTCTTATTGTTCACAAATGGCATCACAATACCTCCACCAGTCTCCATCTTACACTGCAACAAACTCAGGAGTTCACTTCCTAGAAATCACCCTAAATACACCACCACGGGTGTCCATAAAGGTTTCACTGCACGGTTGGCCTTTATAGTATTATCAGTGAGAGCAAAAAACTGGAAACACCCTAAACACTCAACTGTGAGGGATTAGGCCAGTGGTGACAAACCTACAGCATGCGTGTGGCAGCCAGCTGTTTGTTAACTCTGATAGCTCTAAAAGGTCCCCCATCCCTGGTTTAGGCTGTGGTGTAACCATACAGCCACTAAATATGGCCATTAAAATGGTGATATGGTAAAGTGTTTGTAAAATATTTGTGAATATTCTGTTGGGTTTGCCATAGGATATACAGTGGAGAAAGGAAGCTATAATACAATATATTCAGTATTGTTTCATATTTTAATTTTTTTTTTGGGTACAGGGAATTGAACTCAGGACCTTGCACTTGCCAGGCAGGTGCAGTGCCACTGAGCTACATCCCCGGCCCTTGTTTTGTATTTTAAAAACTTAGATCAACATGGACACAGATGGGAAAATATTGACAGTGGCTATTCTTGGGTAGTTGGATTACAAGTCTTTTCTTATTTTTATTTTTTTGCTCCCTTATTTTGTTGTTTGGTTTGGTTTTTTGAGACAGGGTCTCGATGTGCAGCCCAGGCTGGCCTCGAACTTATGGCCATCCTCCTGGCTTGGCCTCCCAAGTGCTGGGATTACAAGTGTGCACCACTACACCCAGCTTATGTGTTTCTTTTAACAATGAATATGAGTGAATTTTATAATTAGGAAAAAAATTGTTTTTAAAAAATCAGAGGGGCCGGGGATTTAGCTCAGGGCTGGGGATTTAGCTCAGTGGTTCCAATGCCTGCCTCGCAAGCTCAAAGTCCCGAGTTCGATCCCTGGTACCAAAAAAAAAACCAAATCAGATTGTTTAGGAGTAAAAGTACTTGGTCTGCTTTCACCACCTTTACTCCCTAAAAATAAGGTATGCAGAGCCCTTCCAAAGACCAGGAAGGAAGGATGAGGTCTCGGTCATCTTACCTGCCAGGAACCCAAGCAGGCCCAGGCCCAGGGGACAATCCCTGCTGCCTCCCCACTCCAAACACAGCCTTCACTGCAAAGTTTCTGGGGCTTTGTTGAGCAATGTTTGAGGAAGGGAATCTTTGGGCTGGGTTGGAGGCTCGCAGAATGCCCCGCTCCACGGTGCTCCTCAGTCCATGACCCCCTCAGGTGGGGGGGAGGGACCCTCACTCATTCTTCCTCTGCCTCACCCAGGAGTTTTTCTATGACATCAAACACAGTGACCTGGCCAAGAAGTCACTGGACATCTCCGTGTGGGACTATGACATTGGCAAGTCCAACGATTACATTGGTGAGCACCCCCAGCTCCGGAGGGCACCCCTCCCTGTCCTCCCAGAAGAGGAAGCCTTGCAGGGCTCCAGAGGGTTGGGCTCAGCCCCGTCCTTCCGCAATCCTGTGGTCCCAACCCCAAGTTGGAGCCTATGACCCTGACTTTGGTCCCTTCCAGAGTTGCCTTTGTGTGGTGGGCTCAGCCTGAACCCAGAGCCAGCATAGAATGAGTCAACCCTAGTAGAGTGGGGTGGGTGGGGTCTCTGCAGAAAATGGTGCAAGAAATTCCCCTTAATCTGTTTGCAAGTTTTCATCTTCCTGGCCTCCCTCCAAGTGATAAGGAAGAGAGGTGATTAAAGACAGAGTCGGGAGGGAACTCTGGACAGAAGGCAAGGGCTGAACAGGAAGATGAACTTGATGGCCGGTGCCCAGTGCAAGAAGTAGTGGGGGTGAGTTTCCATAAGCGGGCTGGTCATCCACAGGAAAGCTTTAAAAGCAGACAAGAAGTTAGGACTTGGTGCTATAGTAGGGAGCCATGGTAGGTTCTTGAGGCACAGAGGCCCATGGTGACACTTTAGGGCCTAGGATGGGCATCCTCCATCTTGACCTCCTGCCCCCCCCTCCCCACCCCGTCATCCAGGAGGCTGCCAGCTGGGGATCTCAGCCAAAGGAGAGCGCTTGAAACACTGGTACGAGTGTCTGAAGAACAAGGACAAGAAGATCGAGCGCTGGCACCAGCTACAGAATGAGAACCACGTGTCGAGCGATTAGGACGGAGCCCTGGTCCCCACCGCCACGTGCCCCAGCCTGCCCCAGCCACTCACTGCTCTCTAGTCTCCCTGTGCCACCTCCCCAGCCCCGGCTGCCTGCCCGGAGCCTGCCTTTGGCCCCCTACCTTGGGCACCGCTGCCAAAGACCTGCTCCTCTTCCTCCCTCCTCCAGCTCCTGCTGCAGCCCTGCTCTGGTCCCTAGGACTGACAGCAGGGCTGGGGATGTGGAGACAGTCATAAAGAGCAGGCTCACTTAATAACCGCCTGTGTGGGGAAATGAACGAAGGTGTTCACTGTCCGGGCTGTCTCTCTACCCTCCTGGCCTTGAACACACACACACTCATACTCGAGTGCGTGCGCATGCCACATGTCCCCTCAGACCCTCACGCCATGAGGACACACACTGGGGCAGAAATGGGAACATCCAGGATCCACTACCCCTCCAAAACACACCCCCAATTGCCAGAACAGCTGCTCCTTGTGTTCAGGGGACCCCACCCCCACCCCCACCCTGCCAACTCCAGCTGCAAACACAGCAAGAAATGGACACGCAGGGCACACAGGGGTCTCACTGCCCCCTCTTTCAGGAAGTCATCCATCTGCCCCTAGCAAAAATAATTCTCCCCCCACTGCCCTCTCTCCACCCGCTTCCCTTTCCCTAGCTCCCCATCAGGGGAAGCCCCTGCCTGGCTCTCTTCTCTCTACCCGCACCTCCCTCCTCCCTGGCGCCTCTCTCAGGAGGCAGAATAGCAAAATCAAAAGCTGTGTCTCGGAGCCTGGAGCCTGCTGCCCGCAGGCCTGGCGCCTCGCCTCTTAAACTCCCCACCACTGCTCTTGGCATGGCCAGAGGGCCTTGGACCCAGGCAGGCTGCAGGCACAGCCCTGCGCATGGCAGCACCCCACAAGCTGGCAGATGCCCCTAGACGAGCTCTGCCACTCCTGCTTCCCAGTTGGGCAGTGGAAGACCCCAGCTACAGTCTGAGGGGCTGGGCCAAAGCCCCTCCTGTCTCCTTCCTCTGTGCTCAGTTAAAGGAACCGCCCCCACCCGCCATGCTGTGACTCCGTCCTTCCTTGGGTTCCCCGTCTCTCTGCAGAAAGCCTGTGTCTCTGTCCACTTCTCTGTCTCTTGCATGCTCTTTCCTAAGTTCCCTGGGGGGAATCAAATAGCATCACAGGTATACAACTGTAAAACGGGGCCAACCCTGATGCCAAAGGCTTTTGGTCCACCATGAATCGAGATGAACATTATAATTCTGAGGTTGAGATCCGGCAATCTTCAACCCCCTAAGAAAGGTTTGGTTTTTTCGACGTCGATTAGATCTTTCCCCATGAAAATCACCACAAATCATCCCGAGCCTCCGCCACACGCTCTAGAAGCCGTCAGACCCAACAGAAACTCCCACTATCCAAACTCACACCTTCTGACCTTCCCCTCTCAATGCCCTCCACCCTCGGCTCCCCCCACAACTTATTGGAGAACTTGGTTCTTGCCTTTAAGCACTCTTTTTCTAAATACCAAGCTCTTCACCTTCCCCAAGGTGGCCAATAGCTTCCAGGCCGCCATCTTTCCTCTTGACCTTGACTTTTCCCGTCAGTCCCCTGCGGCACCCAAGCAGCCACCTCCCCGCCACGGCCCGCCCTTAGGAGAATGCATGACAGCTGTGTCGCCAAGCCTGGCGCCGGCGTTGGCTCTGGAATGAGCATGCGCAAGCGTGCTGTGCCCCTGGTCTGGGCACGCGCTGTACCGGACACACTCAAGCGCCTCCTGCCTAGGACATACACAACCCCTGGTGCATGCCAACCGCCCGCCGCCTTTCTTTGTGATGATGTAGCCAACAATAAAGTAGGAATATCCAGGCAAACTGTGGTCTGCAGTTTTCCTAGGTGGTTTCTGGAAGTTCTGCCACCGCCCCAAGACAAGTGCTGCTTGCTACCTACACATGCGCATTAAATGTGCCTTTGTTCCTGGCAAGGGCTGCAGCCGGTGAACAGGACAGATGTGGAGTTTCTGACTCTGGGCGACTCCCACGTCCTCCTAGAATACTTTTAGTGGGTACCCAGTACCCAGGGAGGTTCATCCTCACCCTCTCCCTCCCACCTCAGCCCCCCCAGGAAAAGTCCCGATGGCTGTGGAATCAGGTATTGCTGAAATGAAATCTTAGAACCGAACCGGGGCCTGATTCAAGCAATTCAGTTATCACAGAGATGAAGACATCAGGGGCCAGTGAAGGAAGTGACACATGTGACATTTCAGAGGCTATGCCCAGGAAGGAGCTAGGATGCTGGACCCCGGCCCAATGCCCTTAACACACTGACCAATGAAAACACAGATTGTCAAATGCTTCCCTTGCATCCGAGCATCCCCCTACCCACAAGAGCCTTTCCCAGTAGACCCTCACTTGGGATTCTCCACAGTGCTGAAAGACAGCTGAGTAGGTGACTAACCTTCCTGGAGGATTCTTAATCCCATTAGACTTGGTCCCAGAACACTTCAGAAGTGTTGGTTATTTCCTGGAAGAGAGTATCAAATCCCTCTCATCCCTCCCATGGAAATGCCTCTGCAGTGCCAAGTTCAAGACAAGTCCCTTTGCCCACAGCTGAGAGGGTGTTTCTTTTTTTAAGACACTTTTTTTTTTTTTTGTACCAGGGATCAAACTCAGGACCTTGTGCTTGTGAGGCAGGCAGTGGAACCGCTGAGCTAAATCCCCAGGTGAGAGGGTGTTTCTTGATGCTGGGAGCAGAAGTCGGCCCATTACAATCCCCTGTGAGATTTATTTTCAAACCACACATGCTCCCCCCACCTCCAGGCCAAACCTGCTAGACACCGGTGATAAGGTGTATATTTGGAAATATTTCCTGGCTGAAGCCTTGTGGTTCCCACATGACATTGAAGAGCCCCCAGTCTTCCCCCATTTTTCCTGCAGTTCAGCTAGCTGCAGCCAGATGCAGAGAGGAGCTCATCGGGGACACAGCATACGCCGCCCCCCCAACCCCTGGTGCTCAGGGAAGACATTACTAATCAGTGCAGCATTTTAGGTATCCTGCTGATCAGCAGCCTCAGAGTGCTGCTTAACACAGTGCTCCAAGCAACCACTACCAGGGGAGGCAGCTGAAAAGAAACCTAATTGCCTTCTTCAAAATGGCTGATCTCCACCCCCAGCATGGGGACACACTAACAGGCTAACTGACCTGGCTAATTATGCTTTTTTCCCTCCATTGAAATCAAACTCTCTACAATAGGCAACGTAGTATGATAGTGTGGCACTCAGGGGCCACATTGGGGACAAAGGACAGATGCGCTCCTGGGCCCTTAACCTGTTACTCATTAAAAACATGACTTGTGTTTTCTTCTAAGGCAGTCAGGGACTTAAAAGCTGGTTTTGCTATTAAAAAAAAAAAAGAAAAAAAACCCAACCAAACAAACAAAAACAGTGACTCTTCAGTTGCACCTATGAAGCCCAACAGGTAGTAACTAAAGCAGAACAAAACTTAGCCTTGTTTTTGTATCTGTTTCTTTTATTATCTTAAAGCTTTGGGGTGTGACCCCTGCTGGGCTCTGCACATGACACTGCCACTAGCATTAAACTTAATGGGCTACAGGTGGCAATATCAGGCTGATTAGCCCTAAATTTACATACCCTATCCCTGCCCACTTTCAACACCAGGATAAGAGATGTAAAGGGACGTTCAGCTACCACAGGGCACCCAGCAGTCTTCAGTCATTGCTCTGAACCTCCCCTGCCCAGGGACAACACTTGTGCAAAACTTCGACTTCTGGAGCAGAGACCAACATGCTTCCTCTAGCAATAAGGACTTATCCTGAGTCTCCTTGCGAAACCAGAGCTGAGATAACGATCAAATGGGCTCTAGCCTCCCCTAGCAGACCCGTAAAAGGTGGTTCAGTTGCCTTGTGACAGCCCCGCCAGCCTGATCTTCACCTTCGGGGCTGTGTCCTGTCCCCCTCAGCTCCCCACGCACAAGTCCTTTCCTTATTTTCTTACTTTCTAATTCTGCCTAATAAATCTCCCTTTGCCTCTCAAAGACCCATCCTGAAATGCTTTTCTGCAACAAGCTGCAAAGAACCTGCCTGGGCTGAGTTGAAGTCCCCATCTCCTCTGTAGGGGCACTTCCTTGGACCCTGTCCGGTGACAGCAAAATCACCTGCCCAAAAATCACACCCGCCTTCTGATCACATCCAAATCCTGGCCTGTCGTGGGCCAGGTCGTTTCCTCTCTCTGAATCTGAATTTCCCCATCAGGAAAATGAAGACAATAAACCCTTCAGAGAGTTGCTGAGCAGTAGTTACTGCAATCACAGAGCACACACAGAGTCCCCTACACATTTATAAATGCCATTCAGTTTGCTGGCCTCTGTGTTTGGGCCGTGTCAGGAGCACACGGTGAGGACAGTGCTTTCAAGGTGGCACTGGCTATACACAAGGGACGTTGGGGCTAAGAAGGGCAGGAGCTCCAGAGACACAGGAAACAGATCTTCTGGGTCTCCCCCAGGTGGGAGCTACCAACAGCTGGAGGTGTTTATTAGGAAGAGAAAGTTAGAGGCAACAGCAAGATGCGGCTCCGGTCCCCCAGAAAGACTGACAAAGGGGAGCCAGGGAGCAGAGCAGGTCAGGGGTCTGGTGGCTCCTGGGGAAAGCAGCGCACACCAAGCCGCACCTGGTACTTGGCCAAGTGAATTAAACATTATCCTGAAAGCTTCCGAGCTGACCACAGGGGCGTTGGCTTAATGAGGTTAAATGAGAGACCAGGGCGCATGAAAACACAGGGAAGCAAGGCACTAGTCACATTTCCTGGGCACTGGTCCAGATACATTGCATGACCTTGAGCAAGTCGCCTCCTTCCTCTCTCTCCTCCTTGGACTGCATGGGTAGGACATGAGATAATCACGATTCTCTAACTTGTCACAGCCACAAATGTCCCCATTTCCCAGTCATTCAAGGAAGATTGAGGCCTTTATCTGAGGGTGGACACCTTAGCCACCCTTGTAGTATCTTTGTCAAATAACAGAGAAATGTGTCCCCTGTAATTTCCTGCTTCTGTTTCAAAGGCAAGTTCTGCCTGGGCAGAACTGCAGTTCTCCAATTATTTCCTCCATCTTCTACATTTTCTCCCTCTTAGATTATTGTCCACAACAATTTAGGGAATTTGCCTTTATTGCATGTTTCAAAAAATTCACTGCTGGTTTTCTTTTACACTCATGTGTATCCATATCCTGTAGATTTACTGAAAAGTTTACTTTTCATTAGCTACAATAGCCGTAAAGACATCTGGAGCAGAATGAACCTTTGACCCCCACACACAGACATGCACGCACAGACACACTCCAGCTGTTGAGGGAAGGGAGCTTTGGAGGTGACGTTTTGCTCAAAATATAAATCAGGACATTAAGAGCAGCAGAACAGAGTCAACTGACTGATCAGCTGGTTAGGAGAAGGGTGGTTACGAGAGATAATTAATTGGTGTCTACAGGCCGTTTTATCCAACAACCAAAAACTACATTCTTCTCGATCTCACATAGAACATTTGTCAAAAACAGATCGCATAGACTGCATTCTGGGCCAGAAATAACCCTTAACAGATTAAAATAAGAGATGTCATTCAAAGAATACTGTTTACAGCAATGAAACTAAACAAGAATCAATAAATCAAAGATAGCTAGAGAATTGCAAAATACATCAAGATTAAATAACGTGTGGGACAAAAAGAAGTCTCCAGAGAGATTTAAAATTAATTTGAATAAAATGAAAATTTAACAACAACCCATCCCTACTTGTGAAAGCAGCCAGCCAGGGGTACACACCTTCAACCTCAGCCGTCCTGGAGGCTGAGGCAGGAGGATGATAAGTTTAAGGGCAGCCTGGGCAATTTAGGGCGATGCTGTCCAAAAATAAAAAATAAATGATAACATGTTAGTATCAATTGATCAGTTGCAACAAATTTACCACAACAATGTTAAAAATACAGGAGCATGGGGTGTACTCAGTAGCACGGTGTTTGCTGAATTTGATCCCCGGAACAAAATAATAGTGATAGCGAGGATGAGAAATTATGGGTGGAAAGAGAGGAGTTTATGGGAATTCTGTATTTTCTGTTCGATTATCTATAAACCTGAAACTGCTGTAAGAAATAAAGTCTATGAATGAGAAAGGAAAATATATAGGATGATAGCATTCTTTAAAAAAGAAAAGAGAACTTTGTGTGTGGTGTGTGTGTATTCACACAGAAAACATCAGAAGAGCTTGACACCCACGTGTGTGCAGCAGTAGGCAGTTTGGGGTTTTAGGAAACTAGATGACCTTTCCACTTCTTGATTTTTCTAAGTTCTTTTTTGGTCTTTTTGTGTGTGTGTGTGTGTGGTACTGGGGATCGAACCCAGGTCCTTGTGCTTACAAGGCAGGCGGTGGAACCACTGAGCTAAATCCCCAGTCCATCTTTTTTGGTCTTTTTGAAGCATTGCACATGTTGCTGCTAAAAAAAAAAAAAAAAATCACAGGACATTATGAAACAATTTTTCAAGAAAATGAAAGATGAAGGAAACTCAAAGTCTGCTTTTAAGTAAGATTTATTTGGGAGAGAGTGAGAGCAGCACCTGGGAGCTCAGCAGGAGCAAGCTGAGGGGTCCGGGCTGACTCAGGGCCAGGGCAGGGCTGATTGGCCAAGAACACAGTGCAGGTCCTCCCTCCCAAGGAAACGAAACTAACAGCCTCCAGCAAGGGCTCCGCCTGTGGTAGAGGCAAAGGCAGGCAGTCCCCAGAGACGTTTGTGCAGCTGAAACAGACACAGCGCCCCAGTCCTTCCTGGCTACCGGGATGGCCCTCACAAACACCACCGCCAAGGATCTGGACAAGTTCATTGAAGACCATCTCCTGCCGGACACCCGTTTCCGCACAGAGGTCAGACAGGCCATCGATATGATCTGTGCCTTCCTGAAGGAAAGGTGTTTCCGAGGTGCCCGCCACCCTGTGCGGGTGTCGAAGGTGGTGAAGGTGAGCCCAGTTCTGCCTGACCCGGGGTGGGCGGCTGAGTGGACAAGAACATGGACTCTCACTGTTCATGACCCGCGTCGCTAAAACGGGAGGCCATAATAGCATCACCTAACCCATACAGTCAAGGGGAGCACTGCAGAAAGGGAGGTGTGTTTTGTTCCTCCCTTTGTCCCTGGAACAGTGGCGGGGCTCAAGAGTGCTAGTGATGGTTCTCAGCCCTTTATTTAGGGGCCCTTCTTGCCGCGTGTCCGCTGTTACTCTTGTTATCTTTTGTAGGGTGGCTCCTCGGGCAAAGGCACGACCCTTAGAGGCCGGTCTGATGCAGACCTGGTCGTTTTCTTCACAAACCTCAGCAGTTTTCAGGAGCAGGTGTCACGCCGGGGAGAGTTCATCACGGAAATTAGGAGACAACTGGAAGAGTATCAAACCCATAACTCAAAAGACATGTTTCAAGTAACCTTTAAAGTCCAGAATCCACAATGGTCCAACCCCCGCGTTCTCAGCTTTGAGCTAAGTTCCCACTGGTTGACATGGAATACAGTGGAGTTTGATGTGCTTCCCGCCTATGACGCCCTGGGTGAGTGTCCCCGGCCCCTGAGGCCTCAGCCTTTGTCCTGTAACTCAGTCTCACCCTCTCTCTCCTGCTTCTGAGCTGACATCTATAGTTTGAGCTTTGTCCAAACATCCTGTCATTTTAGAGCCATGGAGGGGGGAGATTTTAGTTCTCCTGGGACTAAGCAAGGCTATAATACACCACAAAGCGATGTTAAATAGCAAATTGATCCCATTTGGGGACAAAGACTTTTCTCATAGAACGTTTACAGCTTGCCACTGCCCGACACGTGACATGGCACACGGACCCCACGGGAGTGATGATACTTACTGCCGTCGGAACTCCTGCCCTTTCCACTGCACCCCACAATCAGCAAACTGTCACCTCAGAGGGAGGAGAGAACCTCAGAGAATGGCTGACATCTTGAAGTTATTATCTCCTCCCTAACAGGTCAGGTCAGCAACACCAAAGCCTACAGACCCAATCCCCAAATCTATGTCAAGCTCATCAATGAGTGCACCTTGAGCCACAGAGAGGGTGAGTTCTCCACCTGCTTCACTGAGCTCCAGAAGGCCTTCGTGAAAGGGCAGCCAACCAAGGTGAAGAGCCTGATCCGCCTCGTCAAGCACTGGTACCAGCTGGTAAGGCCACCTCCCCGGACTGTGGGCCCAATGGGATGGGGAGAAGACAAAGAACAGAGTGAAGGAGACAAGGGGAGGAGAAAGGGGGGAACAGAGGAAGGGAAGAGGGGAGAAGGAGGACAGCTGGAGGGGGTAGGCAGGAGAGGGATGCTGCAGGAGAGAGAAAGAAAAGGGCAGAGAGGGAGGGATTTCCATGCTTCACTGAATGGTTTCTCCCACTCTGACTTCCGATGAACCAATATTTTCTTTAGCTGCATCTAATTCACCATTGATTTGTTAGTTACAGTTGTCATTTTTATCCTAGAATTTCTACTTTGTTCTTTTCCAAGTCTGCCATGTCCTGCTGCTTCAAACCCTTATTCCTTTGAACCTAATGCTCTTAGCTTCTTTCAAGCCTGGGCTCAATCAATCCATGTTGAAAGTTTTCTGTATTTTTTTTTTTGGTACCAGGGATCGAACTCAGGTCCTTGCACTTGCGTAGCAGGTGGTGAAACCACTGAGCTAAATCCTTGGCCCAGTTTTCTGTATTTTTTCATTATTCTTTTTTTCCTGTCAGTCATTGTCCACGGTGTTTTATTTCCATGTGGCCTTGGATATCTGTGTGCTGGTCATTGTCCTTAAAACTGTTTGCAAATAAAATCGAGGCTCTAGGACCCTAGGTCATCTGCCCAGCATCAGACAGTCGTGAAGCTGGGGTTCAAACCCACATCAGGAAGAACCCAAAGCTTGCCAGGCTCATTTGAGCACACCTGTAATGCCAGCACTCTAGCAGGCTGAGGCAGGAGGATCACAAGTTCAAGCCAAATCTAGGCAACTTGGGGAGACCCTATCTCACATCGTAAAAACCAGCCGAGGATGAACCTTACTGGGAAGACCCTGTGTTCCATCCCCAGTATTGAAAAAGACAGGTCCAGGGCTCAAACTCTTCACCATGGTCAGCACACTCCTCTTACAAGGATAATCAGTAAATACACTAGACTTTGGAGGCACATGGTGTGTGTCACAGCTCTGCTGCTGCAATGTGAAAACACCCACAGATGGCCACTGAATGAATGGGCCCAGCTGTGAGCCAATAAAACTTTATTTACAAAAACAAGTCCCCAGGCTGGGTTAGCCCATAACAAATGTACTTTACACAGAAGCTGGACAACCCTGTTTCTCTGATTGTTTTTCCTCCTCTCAGTGCAAACGAAATCTTGGGAGTCCCCTGCCACCACAGTATGCACTGGAGCTGCTGACGATCCATGCTTGGGAGAGTGGGAGTGGAAAAACCTCTTTCAACATGGCCCAGGGATTCAGGACTGTCTTGGAATTAGTCATCGAGTACAAGCAGCTCTGTGTCTACTGGATGGAGTTTTATGACTTTGAAAACCCTACCATTGGAGACTACCTGAAGGGGCAGCTGAGGAAACCCAGGTACCCTCCCTCCATGGGCTCAGCTCCCCACACACGGGAACAAACCCCCGGGCTCAGCAGCAGCGCCCTGGATACACAGGGGCCCCTCCCCACACTTACTGAGCATCTCCTATTGCCTGTCACTGTGCTGGGCTCTGCACAGCTGCCACTTGGTGGGGACCAAAGGCTCCAGCATGAGGGGACAGGCATCTGCTAGCCCTTTGACAGATGGGTAAACTGAGGTTCTGAGCTCCTCCTGAACCTAAACAGAAAAAGGTACGGAGCTTGTCCAAACCAGAACAGACAGTGAGGGAAACAGCTGGCACTGACCTGAAATAAACAGCAGCAGCTGCTGTACCAATGACTCTTGCAGGAACGGAAAGCCTGTAGTAGTGAGCATCACCGTCCGTGTAAGCCCCGGGCACTGAGCCTCTGTTTAGCCGCAGTCACCGTGCTGAGCATTCCTCCAGTCTCGGTTCAGCTTTGCACCACGTCGTTAGGGACAGGCCTGTTTGATGTTCAACTCTCCCCATTTCACAGATGAGACTGAGGCTTAGCGAGGGCAATGACCTACCTAAGGGCACAGTGCTGACAAAGGGCAGGGGAGGAGTTGGGAGCCAGGTTCATGTTGAAGGCCCCTCTGCTCAGGCCCACTGCTCACTCGGGGCAGGGCCTCAGCACACATCCGGAGCAGCGACCTTCTGTGTCCCTGCTGGTGCCCACGTCCCCACCTGCCCCAGGCTGCTCTCAGCTCTGCCATTACAGAACCCAGCTCCTCACAGGCCCTCTCTGATGATTGTTTCTTAGGCCTGTGATTCTGGACCCCGCTGACCCTACTGGAAACTTGGGTGGTAAAGACTCAGAGCGCTGGCAGCGGCTAGCACAAGAGGCAGAAGCCTGGCTGAGCTACCCGTGCTTTAAGCTCTGGGATGGGTCCTCTGTGAGCTCATGGGAACTGCCAGAATTGCACAGAAGATCAATAATGATGGACGAAATAGGAATGTATTTGGAGGCTGGGCAATGGAAGGTAACTGAATTGGGGGCTTTAAGGCTGACTTGCTATTAGCAGGTAGGTGGGGTCTGGTTCGAGGCGGTCTTGGGGGTCAGAGCTGGTAGTGCCCACCTCCCTTCTCAACCTCCTCCCTCTCCTGTCTGCTTCCTGACCGCTCACACATGAGCAGCTTTTCTCCGTGGCAGGCTCTTCCACCGAGCTATGTCTGCATTTGAGCCTACAGCCATGAACTGAACCTTCTGAAACCGGAAGCCAAAATAACCTTCTCCTCCTTTAAGTCACGGGTGTCAGGTGTGGTGTCTGAGCATCAGGGCAGTGACTAAAACAGCTCCTGAGGCCCGCGGTCCTCTCTCAGACACGCGGCTTCAGATGTCCCCCGTGTAGCTGGAGACCTCGCTACTTAAGAAATGACCTCCTGCTCTTGGTCACCCAGGTTCCTAGAGCTGCAGGCTGGGCTGCACAGCACACAGTCATTTGACCCCCAGAGCGTTCACGCCCCTTCTCCAGAGCCCACCGCCCTACCAGTGACAGTGATTCATGGGGACCGGCACACACTGGATTCTGATTGGGGCTCTGGTTCTGTCCTGAGACCTTTAACACACACGATCTCATTCAAGCCTCACAAGGACCCCATGAGCCAGGCTTATGACCACCCCCACCCTACAGACAAGAAAAGGGGCCCAGAGAGTGTGGTCACTTCCTCGGGGTCACTCAGCCGTGAGTGGCAGGGCTGGAACTCTGGACTCCAAAGCCAGCACTCAACGTCTGTGCTGAATGAACAGTGTCTCCTCTCATCCCCTCTCCCCAGCTGACAACTGGGAGACTCTGGGCAACTGGGTGACAGGGGCTGTGTCACACTGCTAAGCAGGGGCACAGGGACCTGACCTTGGATCTTTCCATTCCCAAGGGTAGGGAGGGGCCTTTCTGATCCTGGGGAACTGATGATGTTACGGTGTCACAGGTGGGTCCCCCGGAGAGCAGACTGGGGTGGAGTTTAGGGTGCAGGATGTTTGGGTGAGGCCACTGAGCCAATGCCCTGCAAGGGAGGGCAGTAGCAGAAGGGGGACAGGGAGAAGTGGGCAGGGATGAAGGACAGTGCCAGCCTCGACCAACCCCAGGCATAGCCCGGGAGCCTCAGTGGCCAATAGCCCTGCCACACAGCAGACAAGTGGCCACCAAACGAGGGCCTCTCCCCAGCCAAAGCCTCCCAAAGGGGCTGGAGGAGCCCACTGCCACCTTCTCGGGGGCTGGGACCTGCCAGTGCTCGCTCGAGGGCACGGTGGTGGCCACTGGTCACTGACAACCAGTCCGGAGGTAGCAAGACCAGCTCCTGACGAGTTGTGTTTTACCTCCGCAGCCTCCAGCACACAGTGAGGGCGATGGGGTGACCTGGCCACAGGCTAGAGTCAGAGCAAATCCAGACTCTGACTTCCTCCAGCACATGTCAGCTCCGCAGGCCCAGGAGACCTGGTCGTGCACCCTCCTGTGAGCACCAGGCATCTGCGGGCCGAGGGGTGACAACAGACCTGAGAGATGACCAGAGAGATTTAGACAAGAGAGCGGCATTCAGCCTTGATTTTCATCTGTGTCCCATTCATGATCAATGACAATAAAAATGACAGAAGCTGCCATGGTAGGTGTTTATTTCCTTCGAGGCACAGCGTCAGAAGTATAGGTGTGTGTGTATTCACTGATTCTACTGAAAACATTGAGCAAAAACTTACTGGGTCTAGGCCCTGGCAAAGCAGCAGTGAATGAAGCAGACTAAAGGCCCTATCCTTGTGGAGTTCACATTTTGATATTTAATGGTTTTGGGTGCTTTCAAATTTCCTACCTTTCTAAGAAATCCTCAGCTGGGCATGGTGGTGCACACTGCAACCTCAGCAACTTTTGATGCTGAGGCAAAAGGGTTGCAAGTTCAAGGCCAGTCTCTGCAACTTCTAAAAAATTAAAAGGGCTGGAGAAATATCTTCGTGCAAGGGCACCTCTGGATTCAATCCCCAGTAAGGCCCTGAGAGGTGAGAGGGGGTAGGGAGGGGAGAGAACCAGAGACCAGCATCCTTGTCTGCATCTCTAGGAAATGTTCAAGCCCTGCCCTGTCTACCACAAGAGCCACCGCCCCATGTGGCTCCCAAGCACTTGAAATGCAGCTGGTGCAAACCAAGATACACCGTGAGTGTAACATGCATGCTGGGTTTCAAGTCTTCATACACAAAATTTTTTTTAATGAATGCCAAATTCTGAACAACTGATACTTTTTTAAATTAGTGCCATATTGAAGTGACATGTTTTGATGTACCTCATCAAATCAAAATGAACTCCACTTTATCTTTTTTCTTTTTTAATGAAGCTACTAGGAATTGTAGCCTTCCACATGTGGCTTGCATGGCACAGGGTGGGACAGCTCTGCCCCAGGAGGGGACTCTGGGTATAGGAACAAGCTCCAAGGCTCACATGGCCACTTCATGCTGCTGTTGGCACCAGGGAGTCACTGATAACTGTCCAGAATATAAAAGTCCCGTAAGTGCAGAAGGACCCAACATGTCCTTGTCACCCGAGTCGCTGGTCACCCAAGAGCGGGCAAGCAGACTTTGCTTTGTCCTTCTTCCACTTCCTGCACTGAGGCCTCAGCACCCATCAGGTGGGCTCCCTTCTTCTCTATACACACAGGTGAGGTCTCAGGAAGTCACTAGCGCAGTCAGGGTGACCTATCAAACTCAGCCTCACGTGCTCACTGCCCAGAGGGAAATGGGGCCTTGCAGGTGACGGCTGCATTGCATCTCACCACCTGGATCACCACTCGTTTGGCCTTTGGAGAGCGTCTCACATCCATCAACAATACAGGAATCCACCACAGATTAAAGGAATCGGTAATGAGCTCCTTAATATAACAAAGAGCTACACGGTCCCGTGAGCAGGCTCCCATCTACCCCAGGGCGCACAAGACTGTTTTTCAAAGGGAACAGAATTTTCCTGTAAATGACATGGACTCAGTCTTGGAAATGACATAACTCAGAGGTCTGAGGTATAATTCTCTGGCTGGAGGTTCCCGTAAACTGTGATGGACACTCCATGCCACTGTGCCTACTCCAGGGTGACACCTATTACAGCCTAGATGGCCACGGGGCCCTGCTCACCCTAAGGCTGCAGCCAGTCTCTGGTCTTCCCTTCCCCTGGGATGTGATATTTCGCGCTTGCTGGTTGGGTTGCTTGGAAGGTCTGCGGTACTGGGCATCGCACCCAGAGCCTTCACAGTGAGCTCCTCCCCAGCACGCTTGTCTTTTTCTTTTGAGACAGGATCTCACCAACTCACAAAGCAGGCCAGACTGAGGCAAACCTGCAGTCCTCCGGCCTCAGCCTACCAGAGTGCAGAGATGACAGTAGTGTGCCACCATGCCCAGCTGTGGCACTCCTTTTCACTGATCAGCCTGGCCCAGGGAATGGCAGCTCCCGGACATCTCTACCACCTTCCATGGTGTAAAAGTCCCTAACCCCCAGGCTAATGGAGGGCTGACCCATTATTAATAACATCCTCTGTGAATGTGAATTCAGAGGACAGGAGAGCGCCCATCAGGAGGTACCATGCCCACCGTGAGCACACTGTGAGCCTGACTGTGCCCAACTCTAACTTCCCCTGGCCCCAGGCCCCCTGTTGGATGGGGCCGGGCCTGATGCCACCTTGGGTTTCATGCAGTAGCAGCCCTGACCCTCTTCTCACTGCCTCAGTGACCTGAGGTCCCCCGGGGACAGCACTGCTGCAGATGCTGCATATGGCAGGGAACCCCGCAATCTCTTCACTCCAGAAATGCGGGAAGGGACAGGGACCTGAGCTCCTGGGCATCCACCCAGATTTCTCCTAGTGGCCCAGATTGACAAAGGCCCTTTCTGCTTGACCATCGAGTGACACCACGTTGGATGAACCACATCTGCAGCTCTCTGTGTCTTGGGGTGCCTGGCTGCCCTCTGACCTCACCACCCCTCCAGTCATCGAGTTCCCTTGGCTCCACTGTCTCAGGTCCTGTCACTCCCACTGCCACCATCAAGCCAAGTCCTTCCTGGGAGGCCATCAGCGAAACCCCTAGTGATACAGGTGCCTTCTCCAGCACATTCCATGGGCCTTGGAAATGTTCACCCCCCGGGGGGGTTCCCTCCTGGAGCTTCTGGACTGACAGAGTAAATCTTTCCCCTCCAGAGCGCCCACTTCCCTGAGCCTTCCTCCCTTCCTCCACCATCTGCCTTGGCCAGTCCAGCCTTGCAAATGTTCCCTGTTTCCCGAATGTCTAGGGACAACCCAGTTCAGGGAAGGCGTGGCATCTCCTGGGACCCTCCTGGGTATTAAATCCTGCACTGGAAAAGTCTCCTAAGTGGACAACACTCCCTCACACAATCTTACCCTGCAGCTCCCTGGACCAGGGCCTTCCGTGTCTAATTCTCTCATCCATACCTGCCCTCTGCTGACACCCGAGGACTGGGTCCTCCAGGCCAAGGCCTCCAGGCCCAACTTCTCTTACAGGCCAGCCCGGCCCAGCTGGGCGATGTTGAGCCTTAAGCCTGGCCACGGCACTTCAGAAGTAGGGGAGCCGGTGCTGATCCTGGATGTGGGGTCTGTTTGTGGACCGGGGGCCCTGCCACTTGTCCAGGCCAGCCTGGAGGTACCAGCTCTTAACAGAAAAGGAGGGGGCCATTTCTTGGCTCCAAGGTTCAGGCCAGATTAGAGATTCAAGATTGCTGGGTGCTATGGTTTGAGTCTGAGTGGAGTTTTTCCGGTCCAAAGCTCATGTTGAAATTTTGGCACCTTCGGGAGCTGGAGCCTCAGGAGGTGATTAGGTCACTTCAAGGGACCAGTGCCTTGTCTCCCACTGGACTTGCCCCGTCTCTGGGCTTTGGGAATAGTGCTGTAAGGAACATGGATCACTAGCCTCGCTCCCGGGTCTCACCTGTCCTGATATCAGTTCTTTTAGGAAAATGCCCAGAAGTGGCATTGCTGGATCCCATGGAAGTTTTTGTTGTTGTTGCTTAGGAATTCCCAGGCTGCTTTCTATGGTGCCCTGCACCTTTTTTCATCACCAGCAACCTTGTGTGTTCATTTTCCTCAACATCCTCACCACCGTTGCTTTTTCTTCTCTCTGATTGTCATCCTAGCAGGAGGAAGGTGACCTCTAATTGTGGTTTTGATTTGCATTTCCCTGATGATTGGTGACAGTGAACATCTTTTCATAGACCAGATGCCATTCATGGACTTCCTTTCTTTTTTTCTTTTTTTTTGGTACTGGGGATCAAACTCGGGTCCTTGAGCTTGCACAGCAGGCGGTGAAACCACTGAGTTAAATCCCTGACCCCATTCATGTACTTTCTTTGGGAAAATCTCTATTAAGTCCATAGCCTGTTTTTAACTAGGTGACCCCACTTTGTTGTTTTTCCTGTTGTTATCCTGCTATAATTATAAGTTCCTTTTATATTTTGGGGATAACTCTTCATGAAATAGATGGCTGGCAAATATCTTGGAGATCAACTCTTGGTTAGATACATAGTTTGCTGCTTGTTTCTATGCTGTGCAAAAGCTCTTTAGTAAGGTGTCATCCTGCTGGTCTATTTGTAGATTATTGACTGAGTTGTGCATTGTCACCCAGTTTTTTGACAATATCAAAGCTCAGAATGATCACCCAATTGTTGATAAAGGTTTTAAAGAGAACATACTGGATTTAGGATGGTCTCTTCAACAAGTGGTATTGGATAAATGAGATCTCCATATGCAAAAGAGTGAAATCAGATCCTTAACTCACACCATATACTATAATCAACTCAAAATGGAATAAAGACTCAGATACAAGGCTGAAATTAAAACTCCTAGAAGAAAACGTAGGGAGAAAGCTTCGTGACATTGTTTCTCACAAGGATTTCACGGCCAGGACACCAAAAACCAAGGGTAACTAAAAGGCATTTCTTTGTGTACAAGGTACAAGGCAGGGGTTCGTTCCCAGTTCTTGTGTGTGAATGTGCAGTTACCCGGCAGTGTTGTTGAAGGGACCCCTGCTCCCCACTGGTCTGTGAGGCCACCTCTGACTCATACCCAAGGCCCACAGTGTGTGAGCCTCTTTCTGACTCTGTTCCCTTCCACTGGTCTCTCTCTGTATCCTGAGTGTACACTGCCTCGTCTTTGTTACTGGAGCCTTACAATTCTTCATATCTAGCACAAAAGCACTTTTCTCTTTGATCAAAAGTCAAGGTTCCTCTTGATCTTTTCTATTTCTATATTAATTTTATATACAATGTGTGAATTTCCACTCAAATACAAAGAATTACAGGAATTAGTCTAGGAAGGATGGTGTCTAAAAAAACTGAGAATTCTAAGCCATGACCTTGGAGTTTCTGCTCATTTAGTCTAAAAATTCTAACAATGTTTTATCCTTTTCCTTGCAGATGTCTTTCGTGCCTTTTATCCTATTTATCCTTAAGGATCTGTTTCCATGCCACTCACTTCATACATTTTCTCTGATTTCATTCTGTCATCTTTGGCTGTTGGAAGACTTAAATATTTTCAATGATTATATTTGCTTAGAGCATTGCATGTGATCTTTATAGCTCTGAATTTTCTAATTTTATTAATTTTATGTATTGAACTTTTATCA